CATTTTCTTAATACCTCCATTGGCTAACAAGGTCAGAAAGAAGTTCATTAAACTGCTTCCATAAAATATATGGCTAATATGGCAAGCCTCTTTCAGGTTTCCATTTTTTTTCCAGGCTGGTACCAAGGACACGATAGGATCAAAGACCACAAGAGGAAATGGAGTCTTTATTTAAGCTGTTCCCTGGGCCTGGACTGTTCCCCCCCCCACCATATGTTGTTTGTTATATCCTTTATAGCCTAACTCAAAGACCATCTCCTCCTTGGTCTATGTTGCTAATAAATTCTCCTAATACCTCAAATTAACACCTTGAATGTAACTTGAAATGCTGTATATTCATTATCTCTGTTGGAGATATGAACTCTCCATTAAAACTGTAAGCTATTACTAGTAAATTTTGTGGACTAGTGAAAATTTGCCTTGGGATCCACTATTAAGAAACATTGGTATACGGTTAACTTTCCTAGTATACAAGGAAAGGCTCCTGCTTGACTCTGGTGAATACCACTCGGTGACCAAAGCTTTATCTTGGGTCCCACTCCCATCCTTCTTTCTCCTTTCCCAAATCAGCTCTGCCTCTGTAGCACATGCTGCACCCTTCTCTCTACATATTATACTAGAGACACTTGATATTCACACTTCAGTTTAGTTGCTGGTGGTCTGTCTTTCCAAGAAGGGGAGGCACGATCTAGATATGGTACCTTGGGACACCTCAACTAAATGACACTTTTAAAGAGACATGTATGGATAAATAGGAAGCAGAGGATAAATATGAAACAGTAGCACAGTCTACTAAGAATATTAGGAAAGCTCAAGTCCAAAAAACTTTTGAGACTCTCAATTACCAAAAAGGGCTTAGCAAGCTATGCTGGTAGCAAGAGAATAGGAATGCTCCTTAAACTGACAAAATAATGAAAAAAAGGTACTCAACTTTTTATCTTTTTCTTTACTGAGGAGCATAATCTTTAGGTTAGGAGGGCTACTATTTAACAAGGAATTAAAATAAGGATATGGTAAAAAGATACCTAACCATCCTCAATGACTTCAAGTCACCAAGCCCACACTATTTCTCTGGATACTGAAAGAATTATGTTGATCTATGAAAAACAGGTCATGACACAAAGCTCAAAAAAAGGCAAATGATAACCTCAAAAAAAAAAATCTGGGCAAGGCAGTCAAGCCTGATGAATGTAGTCTTGATTTTTGGAAAAATTCTGCAACATACTATTTTTTTGGGGGGGGGGGCTAGGCAATGGGGTTAAGTGACTTGCCCAGAGTCACACAACTAGTGAGTGTTACATCATGTCTGAGGCTGGATACGAACTCGGGTCCTCCTGACTCCATGGCCGGTGGTCTATCCACTGTGCCACCTAGCTGCCTCTGCAAGATACTATTAAAGAGATGGTGTGTGATCTCTCAGAAGGGAAAGAGTAGCTCAATACAAGCTAGAAGAGTATAGCACAAAGGACACTGTAATTTAGAATCAAGCTCCAAAAGTGGCTATGATACGCCACCATAGACTCCATTTCATTCTTCTGTAAAAGCGATTGGATTAAATGACCTATGAAACTATCTGTGGTTCACCAAGAAAATGTCACGTGCGTAGATAGGATAACTAAATTTCATCAAGGCATTTGACAGCCTCTTATGCTTTTGAACATGGACATAGAGGCTGGATAATAAAAGTGGATTTGACACTGCTGAAACAGGACACCAAGAATGGTGAATCTGGGTTCTTAATGTGACAGTCCATGGATTTCAGGGGATCCATGAATTTGGATGGGAAAAAAGGTCTTTATTTTTGCTAACCTTTGGTTTCCTTTGTAATCCTATGTATTTAATGCATCTAAAAGCATCCGTTCTGAAAAAAGGTCCATAGGGTTCACCCAAACTGCCAAAGAGGCACATGACACAAAAAAGTTTTTAAGAATCCTGCTAAAAATGGATTGGTGGTAACCTATAGGTTTCTAGCACAACACCAGAGGGTTCTGTTCTATTTACCGCTTTGCCAATGATTTGAGAGGGAATGTAGGGTAGTGGATAGAAGATGAAGAATTCAGGAGTCATAAAGACTTCAGTTCAAATCCTCTCACTTACTGGCTGTATGACCCTAAGCAAATTAACTAACCCGTCTTGGCCACAGCTTCATCATTAAAAAAAAAAGTGACGTGAACTTTGGATCCTGAACTATTACCAGGATCCAAAAATCCCAATAGGCTCGAGCAATGGGTTGAGTAAGAACTCCTAAATTTTAAGGTTTACAAAAAGCTTTCCTTATGATCATCCCAAGGTAGGCAGGCATTTGTTGGGTAGAGAGGTAAAATGTTTTACCTATTAGGGTCACAGTCTGAATTAAAACCCAGCTCTCCTAACTCTAAGTCTGTAGCTTCTTTTTTACTCTGTGAGGCTGCCTCACCAATGTGATGAACTTTAACAGAAATGCTTATAAAGTCCTATACTTGGAATATCTAGGTTCAAATACAGATGTTCATGTGAAAAGTATTAAGAGGTTCCAATGAACTGTAAGCTCCATTTAAAGTTATATGAACTGACAGCCCTAAATATTAAAAAGCTCTTAGGCTGTATACTGGTTGTGCTATAGTGAACTGAATGACAAAGATTACAGCCTCTAACCATACTTTGTTTTGGTCAAATCACATGTGGACTATTGTCACATTTTGGATAGGACATTGTCAAGATGTAACAATTATAAGAGATTTAAAACCATGTATATGAGGCTCAAGTTGAAAGAACCAGAGGACTATTTAGCCCAGAAGAGACAACTTGGGTGGGCCTGGAGAGCTGTCCCCAAATATTTAAAAGGGGCATCTTATGATAGAAATTTTACATTGATTTTGCTTGGCTCTAGAAGGAACAACTTGGAACAATCAATAAGCATTTATTAAGTGCCTATGGGCCAGGCACTGTAAATACAAAGACAAAAATGAAACATCCCCTTCCCTCAAGAAACTTACAATCTATCAAGTAAAGTATGTACAAGGAGGCACACTTTGGCTCAAAATGAGGAAACCCCCACTCCCAACTTCCTATCGCTTGGAGCTGTCCAAAAGTAAAATGGGCTACTTTGGAAAGCAGTGAGCACTAATGCACTGTTGGCAGAATTAGGGAATGGTATAATGGCTCTAGAAAACCATTTTTAATGTATTTTAAAAAGTCACTAAACTGTATATACCCTTTGACCTTCCTTCTTCCTGGGATCTTCCTTCTAGGCAAACGTTCAAAGTCAAAGGGAGAGGGGAAGATCCTACACATACAGTACATAAAAATATTTATAGCAGCATCCTTTGTAGTAGCAAAGAACTAGAAGGAAAGTTGATGACCATCTAAACAAATTGTAACATCTAAGTGTAATTGAATGTTACTGCAACCTAAGAAATGGTGAATATGGAGAATCTGGAGAAGCTTGGTAAGGCTTATGTGAACTGATGCAGAGCAAAATAAAAAAGAACCAGATCAATGCACATAATGGCCACAAAAACGCAAAGGAAAACAGTAAGAAACCTACAAATCTGCAGTGACATCATGACTACCAAGGCCTGAGGGAGATGCATGCCTTCCGCCTCCAAACAAAATGGGATACACATTCTCAGATATGGCCAATGTGTTGATTTGCTCTAACTGTACTTAATTGTTACAATCCAAGAATCCAAAGGAGGATTCTACTGAAGGGGATAGGGGAAGAGTGCATCAGAGAGAAGTAACCAGGAAGTTTAAAGGGGCAGCAACAACTTTTTTTTTTTTTAAAGGGGAAGTCTCTCATCTCTAATGGTGTCATGGTCATTGTAGACTCTTTGATTCTGGGTAGAGTGGAGCGTGGGGTTGAGTTGTTTTGTTTGTTTGCTTGTTTTTATATGACCATGAAGAAAGAAGATAGAAAGTGGTAGTATTGTATAAGTACTTGTTTAGGGTCAGTGAGACTTCAAAATTTTTAAAGGGGAAATTTAGTTAAAATTGTTCATTTGGTATCAGCAACTAAGTATTTCTCTTTTCTTATGAATTCCCAGTCCTTTGTTAATGCTATTACTCCATGACACCCCTCCCTCCACCACCCACCACCCCCAACCATTTGACTGGACCTTACTAGAAGAATGAAGCAGAGAACTCTTACCCTGCCCAGGGGTGACACATCCTAGTTATCCAAGGTTAGGAGTTGCCAGCTTCATTCTTAGTTTCCGCACATAATCCAGAATAAAGGTGGGTGCTAATAGTGAAAGTACATATACCTTAAAAACTCAATAAGGATATTTTTTTTTAAGAGTACTGAGCCTCAATATATGCCACATTAGGAAGTAAAATTTCCAAGCAACTATTTTCCTTTCTTTCCTGTTAAACTAGTCTTATTAGTCACAAGTTATTAATCACTATCCTAGTACTCAAAACAAGTCTATTTTAATCAATTTTCATTTGGCAGATTACAATTCAACCAGGCTTATGCTTACATTAACTGGTATTATTATTGTTCTAGCTAACATTGATATAGCACCTGAAAGCTTGCAAAGCACTATGTATATGTGTATATATATATATATATATATATATATATTTTTCCCCCACTTGATCTCAGCTGGTATGACAATCAAATATGTGAAAGCACTTTGTAACCATTAAGCATTAATATATATATATATCACACAAAAAAATACAAAAAACAATCTCGTGACACTCTAGCAACAAAGAAACATTACGAAATTGTCAGAGTAACAAATGTTCTAATCCTATTGGCTGGGAAAGGAATTTTTCAATGTGATAACTTACATTTTCTGTATAAAAGGATTAATTCTTAATCATGTTTTCTTTTATGTTTTCCCTAGGACTAATATGATCATCTGTACTCAATCAAAACTAGTTATTGGACTGAAGCTCTTCCTACTTGTTACAACATCTTTATATGCCTTCACATTTCAGATTAATGAAAATGTTTGTTTTGAAAAAATAAATGTCCATTTTACTAGCTTTTAAAATCTTCACTCTAATTCAAATTAGTACAGAAAATGAGAATTTTAATTGTAAGGGACTTCATGGATCATTTAGTTCAAGTCTACCACCTTACAGAGGAGGAAATTTGGGCCAGAGAAGTTGAGCAACTTGTCTAACATGAAGTAGCTAGTTTTAATGTCAGGGTCAGAATTAGAACCACAGTCTGACTCTCCAGAGTCCCATGTTCTTTCCACAACACCCTGTTGCTTACACAGTAAACATTTCTTAGACCCAGATAGGGTTTTTACCAGGTTAATAAGAATTAAGATTGTCAGGCTCAGAAACAAAGAGGAAGAGTACAAGGCAGGTTACACACAGATAAAGCTATAGCCCCCCCCAACCAAACAAAAATCCCCAAACATACACCCTTCAACATTCTTATCTTTAACAGATAAGACTCTTAGAAAACCCATTTTACAAACACGTGATTAACTGCATTTTCCTAAAATCATATTCATTCAAAGCAAACATATCAGGGAGCACTAGTATGAGAAAGTCAGGATTAATACAACTACAAGTTAAAATAATGATGTGTCATCATCGATGGAAATTGTTTAAATGAAAGCAAATTGTTTAAATAACAGCAAAACTATTTAAAACAACTGTTTGATATACAGATATTAAGGACTACTATATTGCTTTCCAATTGATTAGAACTGTGCCCAAGCACCCCAGCAGATCACACAGAAATTCAGAGTTGGAGTTGTTGTTGTTATGTTTTCAGTATCAGGAAATACAATCCACCTTTAAGAATGCCCAAAAACAATGTGAACCCATACTGCTACATGAGCTTAAATTCTGCCGCTCTAACCTAACAGTAGTATTTTTGGTATACCAACTACTCTGTAGTGCCCAAGTTTATTAAGGAGAACTGTTTAAATTTTAAAACACAGGCGGATTAATAGCTGCTTTTGTGAAAAGGAGTCATTTACAAATGGATTACTGCAGTGTATCAAAATGCTGCTAAGAAAAATACAACAGCAAGGTACTCTGATAGGAGTACATTATTCCACATGGAATCCTAAATTAACATTCCTCTCTAGCTCCTTAAATGAGTCTTCATGAGACTAGAGATAAGGTTCGATGTACCACAGAGGTAAAATAGAGTTCACATCAGCTGAAGAGTCTAAAAACTTTTAAAGTGTAGAGAAGAATCAAATACTAGTAAACCTTTGGTGTTTACCCACTAACAACATTTCCATTTTAAGTGACAATGAGATATGTACAGTTTGTGGAGAAAAATAAAAGCAACTTGTTCACACCATATTCCCATTGTTCCTAATTCTTTCCATGTGTTGTTCTAAGACCACCTGGCTTTAAAACATTTGGTTATTCAGTGCAGAAAAGTAAACCACAGACAAAGTACGACAACTTTTAATACTCCATTAATACTAATGATTAAAAATTATTGCATAGCCTTATGCATTTATCCTAAAACATTTTCTGTAAAGTAAATGAATTATATAAAAGACAAATAATCCCTTAAAATGTGGATGGCCTTTACTACCTCGATCTTCTATCTTTTTTTGTTTTTTCAGTACTTTTGTCCATTGTTTTCTCATTATCTCCTCTGCACTTTGGGCAATACCATTTTCCCTTTGGTTTATAAGTAAGTGAAACACATGAAAAATGAAACCACTCAATTGGACACTGTTCATTGTCACATCCTATCATTTCCCCGTAAGACACTTGGTTACATAAGCAGTATGTAGGTTCATTGGGATCTATTGCAAACTCAACAGGTGAAGCTTCCCTTTCCTGTTTGGCCTTTGAACGTTTCTTTTTCTTGGCAGATTTGGATTTCTTCTCTTTAGGGGGCTGATCATCACAGTCTTCAATCCCATTTGCTATGTGGCAGAGATCACGGCTTTCACTGGTCCGCTGTCGGCGGGGTCTTCTTGAAGACCTTTCTGGTTGGCTAGAATCCATCTTTGTCTTATCTGAAGGCCTCTCACTTTCTGAAGGATCTTGAAAACATTGTGAATGCAACTCCATTTGCCTTGCTCGGTTCTCTACCAGCTCAAGCATTTGTGTAACAATCTGAATTTTCTCGTCACCCAGTTCCTGGCTGTTGATTAATGCTCTCTGAAGATTCTGCTGAAGGCGTTTCTTCTGATGTGGATCATTTTCTTTCTTATATTTTTCACAGGCATCATCAATTTCCTTTAATGCTTCTGTAAGAGGTAAAAAAAAAAATCAGAATACTGCTCTACATTAGAGAATAGTTTGTTTTTTAAGGATTTTTTTTTAAAGTCATTGGAGTACTTTGAATAGAAGCAACTCAAAACATAAGGCCATAAACTCAACTACATTGTTTACCATATCCATCACAGAAATGCAACACCCAGAAAAACTAATGGAAGCTTTAAAAAAAAAAAAAAGGGAAACTACAATCAGTTCTTGATTGGTATGACCAAGACAAAGTTTTAAACAAATGCATAGCCCCAATTCACTCATATTTAGTTTTGGAATATAAGAAATGGGAAATATTTAATAAAAGCTTTAAAAATACAAGGGATAATATTAATTTGTAATTTTCTAAGTCAATATGCAAGCTGGATTGTTTCTATTGGAGTTTGAAACTGGTGGTGTAGGCAACCCTTTGTTAGCAGCCACCTGAGTAATCCAGGCACCTGAGCTAGTAACAAGCCCACAAGATGCGCAATGTGGCATGTCACCAGATAGAAAGCCCTCAGTCCAGGCTATTCTATTATTTCAAAAGCTCAGATTATTCCCCTTTATTTACACATCCAAATGCTCTAGCAATCAGCTAGGTTTCCTCTAGGGAAAGGAGGAGGACAAATTTCTAGACACAAAGATTTTGAAATGAACAAAGGCCAGGCCAGGGCAGACAGGAGGAAACAAGACAAACTAATTTCAACTATCCCACATCTTACCCACAGTGGTTTGCAGTCTTATAAACATGATACTTAATGTGTTGTTCCCAGTATAGAACCAATGTCTGATGCTTAATACCAATCAATGATTAAATAATTTCATAACAAGATAAATATCTTAATATACAAGAAAGCAAGGAAAACAGTCACACTAATGCATTGTTGGTGAAGCTGTGAATTGGTTCAAGCCATCTGAAAAGCAATTTGGAACTATGCCCCCAAAGTTACTAAGTTTCATATACCCTTTGACCCAGCTATACCACTACTAGGCCTGCAGCCTAAAGAGATCTATGAAAGAAAAAAAGAACCTGTACACATACAAAAATATCTATAGCAACTCTTTGTGGTGGCAAATAACTGGAAATTAAGGGGGGTGCCTACCTATTAGAGAATGTCTGAACAAAGTATGGTGTATGAATAGAATGTGCCACATGAAAAAAGATAAAATAGTTTCAGAGAAAAACTAGGAGGACCTCTATGAATTGATGCACAGTGAAGTGAGCAGATTTATACAATAATGTCAACATTATGGAGGAAAAAACAATTTTGAAAGACAATAGAACCCTAATCAATGATAAATCATAATTCCAGAAGACGGAAAATGCAGAACAAAACTTACATTTTTGGACATTGCCAATGTAGGAATTTGTTTTGCTATATTATGTGTGTTTGTTATTAGGTCAAGAAGCATTTATTAAGTGATTACTTTGTGCCAAGAACTGGGTGTGTGTGTGTGTACAAATAGAAGCGAAAAAAGAAAAGATAGTCCCCGCCCACAAAGAGCTTACATTCATAGTAGGGAAAATAGACACAAAAGGGAAAGGAAAAGGAGGGAAGGGGAAAGGTACCCCTGGGCCCTTTCTCAAAATAGAGGTTCCTAGAGAAACTCAATAATGGAAGAAGAGGGGCATAGGAAAGGAGAGAGAAGACAGATGAAGTCTGGTGGAAAAGTCTGGAGGTTTTTAAAAATTGTTTAATGGGAAGGAGACATAATAAATACCTGTGAAAACAGATACTTTTAAAAGAAATGTAGAAACAAGTTACATTAAAAAATTCAGTTTAACAAATGAAATACTTATAAAATTATTTGCCCAAAATTATACACAATACACTTTCTTCCCAATTGATTATTCATATATTTGATCTACTCTATAAGACAGAACCCATTTATCTTTCAAATAGTCCCTTGTTCCAGACTCATAACACCAGAATCATTATAATTCAGTCTGTCTCTGAAGGTACTTAAGTCAGTGTATATGGATTCTTTGTATCAAGGTGTACTTCAACACAGTGCAGCACATATGAAATCTCAATCAATCACAGGCTTAATAAAACATTATTATTAAGTGCTTACCATGTGCAAAGCATTGTAGTACACTGAGATAAACCAGTAAGAGCCTGCCCTTAAGAAGAGAATCTAATAGGTAAAATATAGGATGTTAATAAATATCATACTGGGAGATTTGGACAGGACAGTATGCACTTAAGGCACAAATTATTGTTACCTTAAATTTATTTAGAAATCAACTATTTGTCTGAACAAGAGTTATTACCATAATGGAACCCTGACTGTTCAGTCTATAAAGCTTGCACTATTCCTCTTGGGTCTAGAGATATACGACAACTGTATACTCAGCACAGTCCTGTCCTTTGATCAGTTACAAAATATCCTGCCCCAACCTCTGAAAAGGGCTTTAAATTTATGATGGTTAAATATACCTTAAAAAAAATTTCAAGCTTATAAAGTAATTTTAATATTCTTAATATTAGTCCTAGATAAAACATTCAAGAGGAAAACCTTAAAAGCCCTAGCCTCTTATTTCTAAATTACCATATGCATATCAAAAAGACAATCACACAGACTAAGATCATAAGAGTTAACTTTGATGATTTTTTTCTTTTAAGAAGCTTCCCATTTTTAAAATCATATGTCAGCCCAAACACCCAAAAAATTATATAATAATTAAAATTTAATAAATTCTTTCTGTAGAATGCTTTACTGCCTGGTAAATTCTAAGTTTAGATAAGACCCTACCCATCCCTACCCATCCGCAGCTTATAGTTTAATGGGAGATGACAGTCATAAATAATTATAAAAGATATGCAAAGTGATAACTGTGAGAGGAAGAAGTCATTACCCAATAGAAGGATCAGAGTAGGCTTCCTGGAAGGAGGCATATGGGGTAGGGCTTTAAAAGATGGGGAAGAATTCAATAGGTATAGGGAAATTCTAGGCATAGGGAAAGCATGATCAAAGTAATAGGCAAGGACAGAATGTGCGGAGGAAGGTTAAGCAGTCTAAGTTGATTGGCACAGAGATAATGATAGCAGTAGCAACAGCAGCAACTGACATTTCTACCACACTTTAGGCTTTACAAAGGATAATAATAGCTAACATTTATATAGCACCTACTATGTGCCAGGAACTGTGCTAAGCACTTTACAATTATCTCATTTGATCTTCACAACAATCCTGAGAAGCAGGGCTGTTAACATCCCCATTTTATAGATAGATAAGGAAACTGAAGCAAAGGTTAAGTGGTTAAGTCACACAGCTAGGTCTTCCTGATTCCTGGCCTGGCTCTATGCACAGCATTGCTAGCTACCTCTTACAATAAACAACCTTGTCAGGTGGAACTCCGGTTCTGCGAACCCAGCTTTGCTATTTACAACCTGTGGTCTTGGGACAAAACACTTCATCTTCTCTGTGCCTAAGTTTTCTCATCTGTCACATGAAGGTGTTAGACTAGATTACCTCTGAGGTGTCTATTCCATATCCATACAATAAAGTTATTACTGCCGTTAAACTGACTTGGTCAGGGTCATGTGACTAAGTATCAGAGCCAAATTCAACCAGGTGTCTCCTGACGTCAAACTTAGAACTTACTCTTTCCCTTATACTGTGCAGAGTATGAGGAGGCCATAAAAGTAGGATACCAATTTGTAAGAGAGCTAGAACTTTATTTGTTGGGAAATGGAAGCCCTCCCTGTGGCAAATAGCTCAGAACACTGAGTAGCTAAGAGACTTGCCCAGGGAAACAAAGTCAGTGTATGTCAGAGGTATGTGTCAGAGGGACGCCTTGGGCCCACTTGATGACTCAGCAGCTGGCCTTCCAGCAACTACACAACCCCAGGATCCACATACTAGGGTGGTAGCAGTGGCACCAAGGGCAAAATTGAGAGAAACTGTGGAGGTGAAAATCAATAGGTCTTATTTGGGTTTGGGTCATTTGTTATGGGTTTTTTAGTAGGAAGCTGAGTCTGAGTTGCCAGTGGAACATTCACTTAGGGAAGAAACTGAATAGTGGTAGAAAGAGTGCCCTGAAGATCAGGAGACCTAAGTTCTAGACCAAGGGTAGGTAACCTGCAACCGTGAGGCCACATGTGGCCTTCTAAGTTCTTGGGTGCAGCCTTTTGACTGAGTCCAAGTTTTACAGAACAAATCCTTTTATTATGGGAATTTGTTCTGTGAAGTTTGGATTCAGTCAAAGGGTCACATTTGAGGACCTAGAGCCACAGGTTTCCCATCTCTGTTTTAGACCCAACTCTTCCACTAATTAGCTATATAATCTAGGACAAGAGACTTCACAAGAGCCTTAGTTTCCTCATTTACAAAATGAAGGAGTTAAGATTTTTAAGGCCCTTTCCACTGCTGCTCCTCAAGTAGGATCTGATGGACTTCAAGGATCAAGGAAAAGTTTCTTCCTAATCTCGGGAAGCTGGTCATTTTTACAGGCAGAAAGGGATCACTGCTGGTTCAAAGAGAATGGAGAGGATAGGGAATGAAGGGCGAAGGGAGAGGAATACGTTTAAACAAGAAGTGGGGTTCTTTCAATATTCTTGGTGAGGGCAAGAGGAAGGGAAGGTGAGAAGGGGCAGCGCAAGAGCCAGCCGACCCTTCTTAGCTTTCCACCCCAGGCTCCACATTCTCCCCCTGCCCCCACCCCCGGGCTCGGGCCACTCTCGCCGCTCGCTCTCCCCAGACTAAGACCCCAGCCCCGGCAGAGCCCGATAAGGCGAGGAGGGGGCGGGGCCCCGATGACAGGGGGTCTCAGGCTCCCCGGGCGGCTCGAGCAGGCTCGGCTCCGGGATCAAGGCCGCCCCCCGCCCCCCCGGCCCAAGGCAGGGCCGCGGGCAGTAACGGATGCCTTCAGGGGCCGGGGCCGGGGCCGTGCTCGGAGCCTCCAGCCCAAGCCTGGAGCTTGGACCAAGGCTGGTCCGGGCCCCGCTTCGGAGCCGGAGAAGGCAGACCCCAAGGCGGCGCGACGCGCCCTGCCCGGCCCACCCCGGAAGTGACGCAGGCGCCCCAGGACACACGCGGGGCGCGCGCCAGAGACGCGCCAGCTGCGGGAAGCGTCCCCGCTGCTGGCTCGGCGCACAGGGGAGCCGCGGTGCAGAAGCCGGGGCAGACCTACGCCCCAAGCCCCCGGGGCTCCCCTCGCCCGAGTCACCCCGACTTCAGCGCGCGCGCCCCTCGAGTCCCCAGCGTTACGCTTGAAGGCACCGCCCACTCCAGGGCACAGACCCGACCCCTCTTCACTGCCCCCCCCGCCGAGCCCCTCCCTCCTTTTAACTGTTTAGCGGAAGGAGCCAAGCAAAGGCAGAGCAGCAGCCCCCCGTCGGCCCGCCTCCCCCGGGGGTGCGAGAGCAAAGCAGACTCCACGGCAGGGGGAAGAGGAGGGAGAGGGAGGGACCTCTCCGGGGTCCGCCCCCATTGCCCACTTCCCTACCCCCAGCACGTTCCAAAGTATCTGCCTTTAGGGGATGGGGGAACCCGGGCCGAGCCGTCCTCCCCCAGCCCGCACACCTCCAGCCCCCGCGGCCGGAGCCAGCCAGCCGGCCCGCCCGCAGCTCCTCCTCCTCCTCTCAGGGGGCAGAGCCGGAGGAGCGATGATTTTCCAGCTAATAAAATGGCTGATTCCCTGCCAGCAGCAGCCCCGGCTGCAGCGGGCGCCCGGGCTTCCCCCAAAGTGCCCCGACCCCGGACGCGCGGGGCTGTCAGCGGGGCCGGCGAGCTGGGCGCCCCTCCGGGCCTGCTTCCCCACTCACCTTGGTACTTGGTGTCTATCTCTCGCAGTACGGACACGTTCCGCTGCATGTCCAGGGGCAGCGACTCCACACACTCGAGGTAGTCCTGCACGTAGCAGGAGAGCAGCCGGCCCCGTTCCCCGGCCAGGAGCCCGGCCGCCGGGTACAGCTGCTGCTGCTGCTGCTGCTGCCCTAACATCCTGCCGCTGCTGCCGCCGCCGCCGCCTCCTCCGCATCCAGCGGCCACACATGCACCGCCGCGGCCGCCCGGGCCGCCGGGGAGACAGACCCTGCCGCCCCTCACAGGGGCGCAGCCGACTGGCTCCCTCCTCCCCCAGCCGTCTGGGGAGACCCTCACATACCCTGCTGCGGGCACACGTCCTAGGGCGGAGCGAGATCAGCTGCCCACCTCAGCGCCCCGGCAGCGGAGATCCCCGGCCGTGCCGCTGCCGCCGGGGACGCGGCGCTCGGGCGTCCCGGACGGCTGCCGGGGCTCCGCGTCCCCCTCGCGCCCACAATCTGCTCCCGGTTCCCTTCGCTACTTGGCTTCCACTGACCGACCCCCTTTCGTCCCCCACTTTTCCCAAGTAGCCAGTGTGAGAGTGTCGGGGTGTGAGTGTGTGTGTATGTGTATGTATGTATGTGTGTATGTATGTGTGTGTGTGTGTGAGTCCCTCTCTCTCTTTGGCCCCCCCTCCCCTCCGACTGCAGATGCCTCTGCGCTTGCGCAAGGCTCAGCCCTTATAAGGCTCGATGCCCGCCCCTCCCGCCGGACAGAAGGGTTCGCATTCTCCCGCCTTCCTCCGGCCGCCCCGGTGATTGGTCAGTCATCTCGCTGCTGGGGAAGGTTAGGGTAGGAGGGAAGGAGGAAGAGGAGGGGGTGAGGACAAACTGCAGGCTCTGTCCCGCCCCCTCTTAAAGGAGAAGCGCTGTCACCCCGCCCCTTTGCTCAGTCTAGAGTGGCGAGCCGGCTAGCTTGTGGAGGAGGTATCGTCCCGCCTCGCTCCCCCTTGCCCTCCTCCCGAGCCGTCCGGAGCCGGGCCCGACTCCGGCTGTACCCTGCTGACGAACGACCTCCCCTTCGGGAGATCCACAGCGGCGCTGCCCAGGCGTAAAATGGAGCAGTTGGCGGCCCCTTTTTCCCTTCAATATGGAGCGAGGCCGGAGGAGACTACAGTTCCCAGAGTGCAGCGAGGCCCCGGGGTTCCCGGCATGCCGCGCGCTCAGGCTCGACTCGGCCCCGCGCTCCGCCGCTCCCCGCAGGCCCCGCCCCGCCCCGCCCCGTAGGCCCCGCCCTCGGGCTCCCCACTCTGGGGCTCCTTGAGCACGTGGGCGCTGCCGGCTTGGGAGGTAGGCGCCCCGTCCCCAACACCTGGGCTCTCTGGGCTTCTGTGGGTTCTTCTCGCGGCCTTGCCTGGCGTGGCCTGGTCGGGGCCCGCGGGCACTCCGCCCCTTCCACGCCCGGCTTGCCGGCCTGGCCTCCGGCCTCCGGCTCCAGACGGGGACGGTAACTTTGAACTTGTTCCCGGGCCCGCCCCCGGCGCCCCGCCCTCTCTTCTCGCCCCTCCCCCAGAGATGCGGGCGGCCGGGCCGGGCCGGGCCGGCGGTGCCCGCGGTTCCCCCTTCCGAGAAAGTCTCCCCCTCCTCCGCAGGTGTCCCGGGGAAGCCGCATCCGAAGGAAACCCTTGTCCGAGCGTTGGGGGCGCTTGGTGCCGAAAGGGGACCCGCGGCGACCCCCGAGCACAGCAGCCGCGAAGGCAGTTAAGCATCTTTGTGGATGAAGACAGCCCGGGAGGAGGGAGCGGTGCCCCAGATGAAGCCGATCCTGACTTTGGGGTCTCTGTGGGGGGCTGCCTGATGTAATTACTAGGCGGTATTTGGCTCTTCGAAACGTCTCTATTCTGTCTTCCAAGAACGTAAAGGCTGCCCTGGTAGTTACTCCTCTGGTTACTGAAATGCGAACTCCTCGACAATGTTAAAAAAAAAATCTACTTGGAGACCAAAATTCGACATCTGAGGAACGTGAAAGTTTTTTTCTTCTTTAAATTTTACTGGAGCACTTTAAAAAAAAGTTATAGTAATGCATTTTTTTTTTACATACATGACTCGGCGGCTTCTCTGGATCTGTACATTGTATCTATCACACTTGCTTTATATTGTATTTATAATCGTAATAATAGCTAGCAGGTATCTGGTTTTTTAAAGTTTATACCTTAACACATGTAAAGTGTTAATTCCTTTGATCTTCACAACAACCCTAGGAAGGTAGGTGCTAATTTTATCCCCACTTCTTTTTTAAACCAATGAGGAAATTGAAGCTGAGTGGGATTGAAAAACTGGTACAGGATCCCACCGTAAGTGCCTGAGGCAGGACTTGAACTCAGGTCTTCCCTACTCCAGGTCCTTTGCTATCCACTGCCTCCGTGTCTAATTCATTAACCATTTATTGAGGAACAGCTATGGGTAAGACACTCTGCTAGGCAGAATACAGGGACTGAAAAACAGTTTCTGCAAGACTGAGCACAAAACTTGGTTTTTAGAAGAACTAGGTTGAACCCTGCCTCAAACATTTAATGCCAGACCTATAGCAATTTCACTTATGTGAGAGCCTGTTTCTTTATCTGTAAAATGGGAATAATAATAGCATCTACCTTACAGGGTTGTTGTGAAGGTCAAAATGAAATAATTTGTATAGCATTTTGTAAACTTCAAAGCTATCAAAAATGTCAGCTATTTCTACTGGAAGATACAATATGTAGAGGCATGTTATATATACTACAATATAATGTTAGGAAAAAGGGAATCAAAATAGTTTTCCTTACAACCCAGAGTTCTTTTTAAAATATTTGATAACCACATATTAATACAATTGGTTTCTTTGTAATCCTACATCTTTTGTGCATTTAAAAACGTTATTTGGAGGGGCGATGGGCAGTATTAGAGTGCCCAAGAGGACAGTGACACAAAAAAAAGTGAAGAACTCATTTTAGAAGGTGGCATGAGAGCTGAACCTTGAAGGAAACTAAGGATTCCTGGAAATGGGATGAGTGCTTTGGGGACCGCCTTTTCCAAGGTGGGGAAGCAGGAGATGAAATGTTGAGTTCAAAGACCAGAAAATAGGATCTTTGATCTAAATGTAAAGTCTGTGGAATAAAGTCAAGTCTAAAAGGCAGCCTGGAGCCATATTGGGAAGGTCTTTAAGTGCCAAGCTAAGGAATTTTGAGATTTTAAGTAAGCATGTAAGATCCTTAAGGGCAGAAACTGCCTTTTTTTTTTAATCTTTTTCTGTTCTTAGTTTGGCACAGTGCCTTACAGGTACATGGAAGGTGCATAATAAATGTTGGTTCAATGGAATTGAGCTAGTTACTTAATAATTGAGGTTATATGTAGAACGAAGGTGTCAATCAGTCAACACTTATTAAGCGACCGCTACCTGTTAGGCTCTGTGCTAAACTTGAGGGATACCAGAGAAGGCAAAAGATAGTTCCTGACTGGAAGGAGTTCACAATGTAATGGTTGTGGACTAGATAAATGGCCCTTTGAGCTAAGACATTTTAATATGGTACCCTAAGTAGGTGAAATGCTTTATTAAATACAAACTTTGTATTTCTGAGTATTGTATCAGAAAACTTAAGATTTAAAGAATTGTCATTAGATTTAATAAACCAACCAGGGTCTCTCAGCAGCCTGCGGTGGTGTGAGCTGTAATCCCTAGTGGGATTGACTGAGTGTTACCACATGTGCATTTTAACTTGTCTCCTCTGTGCCTCATTGTTTTTAGGTATATGTCCTTATGCTGTTGATGAATCAGTATTTATGGAATACCTATAGAATACGATTATAAATACAATATAAAGCAAGTGTGATAGATACAAAGTACAGATCCAGAGAAGACGCCGAGTCATGTATGTAAAAAAAAATGCATTACTATAACTTTTTTTTAAAGTGCTCCAGTAAAATTTAAAGAAGAAATTTATGGAATATGGAATACCATTTATGGAATGTCCAATGGGCATTGGACATGCCCATTGTTAATAACACCACACACCTTTGTGATGCTTGGTGCTTAATACCCTTGGAAGTAAGTGCAAGTTTTCTGTCTCCACTTACTGCTGAAGAAACTGTTCACTTTGTATCTCACAAGGTATCTGTATTTTATGGTCTTTAGGAAGTCTAGTGCCTCAACTTTGCAGCCTCAGAAATTAGATTGTGTCAGTTCACCCTGAGGTCAGCCTCAGGGTAGAATGTCTCGAGCAGCAGTTCTCAAACTTTTTGGTGTCTGGACTAATTTACACTCTATAAAATTATTGAGGACCCCAAGTTAATGAGGCTTTAGTTTATGTGGGATATGTCTATTGATGTTTACCATAGTAGAAAGTAAAACTCATAAATATTTAAAAAAAATACACATTTATTAATTTAAAAATAACGATATTAAACTCAAACCATGTTAATAAACTCATAATGTGAACTTATAAATAACATTTTTATGAAAAATAACTTTTTTCAAAACAGGAATTTTAGTGATAAGATTGAGATTGTTTTTAGTATTTTTGCAAATCTCTTTAATGTCTGGCATAGTAGAAAATAGCTAGGTTCTCATAACTGTTTCTGCATGCAATCTGTCGTGATATGTTGTTTTGGTTTAATTCTATGAAGAAAATCTGGCCACACACAGGAGGAGGAAGGAGTAGCTTCACAGCCAAATAGCATTGTGGTACTATTATGAAAATAGTTTTGACCTCACTTATACCCTGAAAAGGTCTCAGGGGTCTCCAGGAGTCCTTGGACCACACTTTGAGAACTGCTGGTTTACAGCGATATTTCAGTTCTGACTCCACTCTCTATAGAGTATAACTTTCTAGTGACCAGATACTTCCGTAGCGTCTTTTTGACTTGGACAGTGCCACACTGACATATTCTTTCTTTGGGACTTTGAAACCTTTGTTTGTTTTTAGCATTAATATACTGCTCTTTCCAAGATTAGTTTTTCTTTAGTTTCTGTTAGATATTTCAAATCAATCAGCAAATTTTTATAAATTACTAGTGCACCAGGCTTTGTGAATTCAAAGACAGAGAAACAGTCCCTGCCCTCAAGAAGCTGCCATTCTGGATTGGGAGGGAGTATAGCATATACATGTCCAAATAGATACAGAATATATACCAAGTAATGGGGCACGGGAGGAGATTGTACCTAGGGGAATCAGGAAGGGCTGCATGTAGGATGAGGCACTTGAACTGAGCTTTGAAGGAGTCTGCAATTCTGTGAAGCAGGGTGAGAAGCGAATGGCTTATGGGGATGAGGCATAGCCTGTCCCAGGACCGGGAGAGGAGGCAGCAAGCCGAATGGCAGGTGTGTAAGGCAGTTTGGCTAGTTCCTGGAGAGCACAAAGGGACTAATGTATAATGTAACAAGTCTGGAAAGGCAGGCTGGAACCAGAATAGAAAGGGCTTTTCATGGAAAACTCCTCTGGAGTTTAAATTATGGTGTAATGGAAAGAGGACTGACTGGAGTCAGAATGCCTGGTTTCTATCCCACCTCTGACGAGTGCTGGTGTATGACCTAAGTGGATGGTTTGTGAGGTTGTTTCCATTTCTAGAACTGTGATCCTGAATTGTATTCTAGAGACAAGAGAAAGCTGCTGGAGCTTTTTGGTTAGGGGAGTGAGGTGATAAGACCTGGGTTTTAGGAATCATTTGGGCAGGTATGGAGAACATCCCAGGTTGCCAGGATAGATTAGTGCAGTGTTGTGTGATGGAAAGGTTAGTGCTGGGAGTCAGGCCACCGGGATTCTAGTCTCATCCTTGCCACAGGACAAGACTAGCTCTGTGACCCTAGACAAGTCACCTTGTTGTTGTCCCTCCGTTTCTTCAGCAAAATGAAGGGATGGCCTAAGATCTTAAAATCTGAGAGTTGGTAATCGGGATGCCACTCTCAAGAGTTGCCTGCCTGAGCAAGGGCATGTGCCATGGTCAGATTCACCCTTAAAGAACATCATTTTGGCAGCCAAGGGGAGAATAGATTGGAGTAAGGAAGAGAGGTGAGACAAGGATACCAATTAGAAGGGCACGGCAGTAGGCTTGGCGAGAAGTGATGCAGACCTAACTTTGGGGGTGCCAGTTTGTGGAAACAAGAGGGTATTGTTTGAAAAGTGGGAGGTTGGAAATTGTTAAGCAGCTTGCCAGAAGTCACAAAGGTAGTGAGGTGTAGAGATGGAACTTAAACTCAGCTCTAAATCTCAGTGCTCTCTTCACCATTGCATGCTGCTTTCTTAGATAACTGTTAAGGAATCCACCATGCTATCATTGACTCCACCTGCTTTGTCGATTTACTGACCAGCCTCCATTTG